AGTCTCGTTGCACCAGCTGGTTGGCGACTCGCTCCGACTGGTTCAACGGCGTCAGGAGGCTGTCCAGCCGATCCTCTTCTGGCCGAAGGGAGGTGCCGTTCGAGACTCCAACGGATCCAGAGAATCGACAGGAAATTGAAAGGCTTATTCTCGCCTGCTCTGGTTGTCTTTTGCAGGTGGCGCACTCGCCGAAGACATGCAGCCTCGCATGGGCTACAGCATCATGGGCACCTTCACAAGGCCCATTGGGGACGGAGTGTTCCAGCATCTGGTTCTTTGGTACGTCGAGTTTCTACGGAAAGTGCCTGTGTCTATGTCTATGTTTTCTATATCTCTATCTACATGTGTATGCGTGCATGTATGTCTATGTCAATGTATATGCGTATGTGTATATCTATGTATATGTATGTGTATGTCTATGTATATGTGTATGTATCTGTATATGTATATGTATATGTATATGCATATGTATATGTATATGTATATGTATGTGCATGTGTATGTGTACATGTATATGTATATGTGTCTGTATCTTCCTCTTTATATGTATTTCAATAGATATATGTGCACCGAGCACCTAATCTAGACAGGTTGCTTTCATTTCATGTTTAAAGACTGGGTCCTGAACCAGGTTGTGTCTCATCATGTTGCGCTTTTGCACGCAGGTGGCGGCCGCAGCCGATGCAGATGGAGGGACCAGGCGTGTACGGGGCCACCATCATCCTCAGCGAGAACAGGTGGGAACGTGGTCATGCGAATGCATGAGACACGTCTACAGCCTCAGGTGGGAGCGCTTCCAAATTGCCGTGGATGGTGACACTGGGCGCGTGCTCCACCCGATCCTGCCTCAGGCATGGAGAAGTTGAAGTGGCGGGCATTAGGGCATGTGTGGCAGCGTGACTGCGCCAGGGCGACAAGTGCTGTCCTGTTGCAGGGCCCGAGGTTGGGGCGTCTGCATTGCATGGTCAGACTTACGGTTTTCTGTCTTTGTGCAGAGTTGTTTAAAGGAATTTTCGAGAGCCACTAGGGCCACAATAACAAAGCTCCAGCCAAGCAGCCAGCGGGACAGGAGAAAATGAGTTCACTGTGATCCACGGCCTTCCAGTACAAGAAAACAAAATAAAGCTGCAGAGGCTACGTGCTCTACACTAGCTTCGGACAGGCCGTGCTTCAGATCCTCAGTTGGCACATCGAGGGCCGCCCCAAAGACGCGATGCAGGCCGAGTTCCGACTGCCTATAAAGGGGTCTACATGTTGCATCGGATGTATGGCAGACGGCATGCTGTCGAATAGAACATGAGATGCCGGGTGTGACGTGTATGTTTACTGCATAACCTAAGGGCACAGCATAGTATGTAACGTGGAACTTCTGCTGAACTTCTTCTCACCTGCGCATATGTGTGCTGCTTTTCATATGAATGTGGAAGAGGCTGTAGGGCAGAGCTTGAGTGGTGTGAGTTTTTTCGAGCATGCATGTGCAATCGCCTCTGCCTGCGTGTGTGTGTGTGTGTGTGCAAACGAACAAAGTCTGCATACAAATGCATACAGACACGGACGCACACACGCGAATACACACACATATATACATATATATATATATGCTCTGTGTAATCTAACTATATATGCAAGTATGCTAACCCCTCCCAAGGACCAACCTCTCACATAAAATATCGACGATTTCAAACATTCCAAAAGTTGCCGAAATTCTACAAGTTGAAACAAGGCTTCCGAAGATTACAAGCATTTCCAAACATCCAAAATCTATGGAACCAAGATTTGGAACTTCGGAGTTCCAAAAATCCGAAGTTTCTTTTTCAGGCTTGCTTTGCATTCCCAAGATGTATCTCCAAACTGTCTTCTCTCTCGCTTTCTCGCGCATACTGAGGGATCGCTGCCGCTGCAAATATCTTGTGTTGAGATTTTTGCCTTTGAAGTCGGACTTTTTGTGCAGTTCATGTTTTTTGAATGTTCGTAAGATGCTTAAGTCGTGTTCTACAGCTGCTTTAACCTATTTATAGCTAATTCGAAGTTTAATATGAATTTACATTGGTTTAGCTGTCAGTTTTTTCAAGCCATGCAGCTGGTTTTTCAACGTTATTGGTTCATTGCTGATGCAGTACTACAATGTTCAAGAAAACGTTCGATGCCTACATGGCTAGCTATCGGTTTAACAAAAAATGAAAAGTAGATCAATACCAGCCTAAGAAGTTTTTAGCACTTGATGCTCACAGCCTCTTTATCAAGCTTCTCTTGTTTGTTTATACGAAGTCTCGTTTGAATTAGCACATGGTTCTTAGACATTTGCACACACGTAAATGCTAAACTCGTATCTACTGGGTGTTCAGTTAATATTCAGTCATGTATGACAGATGTTTTCCCGAATCTGCCGAATGTTAGTCATCACGTAGTGTAAGCTTCATAGCCCACTCGAAGCCAGGCAAAGTTTCAATACTTTTTGACTTTTTGTTTAAAATGATACTTGTACTTCTCAATGACACGAGTTCAGCCTGGACTCGGTAGTGTCTTTGAATACTTCCAAGGTATTTGACTGATGTGTGTGTGTGTGTGTGTATTTTTCGTCAAAAGCTTGTCATTAACTGAAATCTATTCTTGACTGGCATATGCTTCCCGTGTGCGATTTACACAGTTTTATGTGTTTCACGACTACAGATTACCTCATATTCAGTGTTGACATATGGCTATGTCCTACTGCCATCCCAATGGAAACGAGAAGCTCTTCGTAATTATGCTCATCTAACATGTGTGGTGTAACACAAAGCTTCATCAATGTTTTTATCGCTAAAAGCTTCAGATCTACTTGACAGCAAGCGGGTGTTCGTTCATATTCGATGTTAAGCAATAGAGTTGTTTGATAACCACTTAGTTCAACACTTGGTTTGGACTAGAAGTACTTCTTTGACATCTGACAAGATTCTCAATTCATTTCTCAAGAGAATGTTTCACTACTACACTAGTATGTACACCATGTTCGGACACACACATTATTGAAGCTACTTTTTGAGATAGCGCTTTCGGATCCTATCTATGACGATCCCTGGGTTCGCAGGTTCGTTTGCTTTTGTCTCTCCATGAAGTTGAAATTTGACTTTGTGCTGTTTGTTGTTAATCTCACATGTGTTGCTGCAACGACGGGCTTTTCCCGTAGATGTTTCTGAATTTACTCTCGTTTGTTAACCGAGCAGACTTACACATGAGGAAATACTGATCCGATACTGATTTCATATTTGTTCTATTAGAGGCAATACACATGCAGCCCAGTTACTATGTGAAATTGAACAGGCGGTAATTTCGTTACCCTGAGTTTTAGGTCTACTTCCTCGGGGTTGAGATCCTCTCTGTCTTTGTATAAACACAAAACCAAAAAGCGCCAAGTAAAGACAAACAAAGACAAATACAGCCAAATACAGCCTCAATAAAGCCACGTGCAGCCACATAAAGCCAAAAAACGCCGTATAACGCCAAATCAAGACCAATACATGCATACATGTGTCACATAAATACTCCGTGAGCAACATTTAAGTATGAAGCCAGCCACTGTGAGAGATTAAACGATTGCCAATCTAAAACTGGCTGCATATTCATTGAAAGAGAAGCAATAGAGATGCATCGCAAGTACTACTCGAGTGTTAGATAACAGGCAATGTACCGGTAAATACTACATACTTACGTCATATGACATGAGGGCATACAAAGCGACACGAAGTATAGCTGTCGACAACGATGCTGGCACGGAATTTAGCAACATTCACGGGTTTTTTAGCTTGGCAACAACACAGGAACACGCATGAGCAATTCCACGGGCGAGGTTGGTCCCGTTTGTGTGGGGGAGCAGGTTTCCATGTACATATATATATATATATATGGTACTGTACCCCTCCATGTACCCATGCCTTTCTTCTAAATCCCCGTTTTCGGAAGGCGTGGGTCCGTGGGATCCCCTTTGTCCCCAAGCCTTTCTCCTAAATGTCAGGTTCGGGATGGCCTGGGAGTTTGGGGTTGGATTGTAACTTTATTCTTTCATGTCTTTGGCGGGTTCCCTCCAAAACGGCCCCGAATCATCCGAATCATTTCCGAATCATTTTGATTCGGGCCCGGCGCTGGATCCAAGATCCAAGAGTTCCCAGAGGACTTGCGCGGACAATCTTGGATCCGACCCTCATCCGAATCATCCGAATCATTTCCGAATCATTTTGATTCGGACCCGGGCCCGGATCCAAGATCCAAGATTGCCCAGGCGTCTTGCCAGGGAATCTTAGATCCGACGCTCACCTATTGGATCCAAGATTCCTTGGCAAGACCCCTGGGCAATCTTGGATCTTGGATCCGGGCCCGGGCCCGAATCAAAATGATTCGGACATGATTCGGATGATTCGGATGAGGGTCGGATCCAAGATTGCCCGCACAAGACCTCTGTGCAATCTTGGATCTTGGATCCGGGCCCGAATCAAAATGATTCGGAAATGATTCGGTTTCCCTCCTTCTCATTCGGTATTTGTATTGTCATGATAGTTATAACATCTGGTCTGTCATGAAGTATGCCAGTCATTATTCAGTCAATACTGTGTTTGTTGCTTCAAGAGATGGAAGTCCAGCATGATTCTGAGGCGTATTCACCAGAATACATTTTGAATACGTTTGAATACCGAACCTTGCGGTTTGACCGTTGCATTTTTTATTTCGAGCCTGTCCTTGTTCTGTGGATAGTCGTCGTTTTCTGCTCTGTAGATACTACAGGTTTAGATACTACAGATAACGCGGTCATTGCAGAAACTTAACACCGGTACTGCTTTGCGAGGCAAATATCCACACTGCTTTAGGTGTTTGACTCTTTCAGAAAACATTTTCCTTATCATACAGCTGTGACTGCCGTGATTCATCCCGTCATATTTCTGTTTTACTGTTCAGACATGTAGACTAGCACAGCATTTCCATTCCAGCGGCGTCGTACAACTAGGAAAACTGAAGTTCATACTGATAGAACTGTTAATACCCTCTTGACACTTGCAAGAATGTTGTTGAAGTTTAATCGGCCTGACCACTAGTTTTATAGTTTGACGGATTGGCCGGATTCAATTGCTGGGCACACATATGACATATGTGCTCTTGCGATGTGATTACCTTTTGCATATAAGTTGCTGCATGTTTTGTGAACATGTTCATGAGATCAATCCTTTCATGCTGTACAAGACTAGGCATGAATCTCTGCCTGAAGACGGTACTGAAAGAAGACCACTTCATTGATCGTCTTCGTCCGTTACCGTGTACTGAACTAGACGTATCGTCTACTCTTGTCTAGGACTGAAGCCTTTACTAAGGGAAATGTAGTGGTATATGGAAAATGTATTGGCTTAGGTTACACTACGTGTGTTGCTTCATGCTTGCATGGGGGTGTCTCTAGTTGGTGCACGTTCATTTTTGTACGTCTTTAACTGGTGCTTACAGTAAAGAGCACTACCCAGTACAGTCACCACAAAACTCTGACATACAGGAGTCTTTATTTGTCATCATGCATTAGGTCATTAGGTGCGAAACTTGTAATCGACTCTGTAAGAACACAGAGCCCCAGCTCGATAGGATGGACATGATTCAAGCAATGCATAGGCCAAAGATTACCTAAACTCAGAACAAACATGTAAAGCTTACAGTTGATATCAATATGAGACAGCGAGGACAACAAATTTATTCATCAGTACCAATAACAATACAGCTTAATCAAAGAGGGGTAGAATGGAGTAGAACAAATTATGTCGGCAGAATAAGCCATAATTTTTGCTGAGAGTGTTTGTGTATGTTGGCAAATCGTGCAAGCACAGGTGCAAATATTCGAAAAGTACTAGCTCGTAGGCTTTTACTTTATCAAGATGTGAATAAACGTAGGGTTCAACAACTAATGCATTTACTTTTGCACGTCGGGCTAGTATAAAACAGTGTGAACAACAGCCACAGGACAAGCGTACCTAGGAAAGTTTTTTCAGACATACTAAAACAAGGGGAAATGAAAAGTGTTAGCTGGGTTACGTACCTAGGAATGTTTTTATTCAGACATAGTAAGACAGAAAGCAATCAGAACGGTGAGTATAACCATAGTAGTAAAGACACTGGTCACAGGAAGAGCATCATTGGTAAATGTAGCACACTTGGTGCTGGCATAGAAGAAAATATTAGTACTTTCGTGTACTTTGCATATAACCAAGAATAGTGGAAATTCGAAAGGTTTGTAGGGCCACGACGACGATCCCGCACAATTTCAGCACAAAGTGTGGGTACATGAGGGGGGGAGCATATATGCATGTACATATGTATATGTATATATATGTATATATATATATATATATATATACATGTGCATGCACATACACACATACATGCATACAGGCGTACATGCATAAAGGCAACTGCTTAAGTCGTTGCTTCCGCAAAGAAGTCGTTGCGTTTCATGCGTGTAGATGGTGTTTAGCATGTCAGGCACACAAAACTACCATATCAGTGGTGTTTGGACGAGTACTTGAACCATGCGTGTAGATGGTGTTTCGCTTGCCGGCTTGGTTGAGAAACGCATATGGATGAGCCTGCACGCTTGGGAGTTGCACTGCAAACAGGCACCTCCGTCCTTGTGCGATCTTTGCGGTATCGAGTGCATACATTGGGAATGGCCGGTCTTGCCGTGCTGTTATGCCACTGATGACCACTGATGATTGCCGAGCAGGTGCTTGAAATCGAGCGTCTACATGAGGAATGGCTGGTTTCAGTGTGCTGCGATGCTACTGATGATCACTGATGTGTCTCGAACGGGTACTTCTGGAGTGGAGCGTGCACATGGGGAATGAATGCTTCTGGTGTGCTGCGATAGTGCTGACGATCACTGATGTATGTCTCAAGCGGGTGCTTCTGGAATCAGGCGTCTACATGGGGAATGTTTTTCGGTGTCCTGTGATATGCCGGAGGCATTCGGATTCCGAGAAGAGGTTCGTTGGTGCCGTAGTACACGCCTTAATAAGGAGCGGGCATAGGCCTGGGATTGGAAGATTTGTGCTTGAAAAGGGTATCGTTGGGGTATCGTTAGGGAGTATCGTTGACTACCCTAACATCAACATATTTTTGGGGCCACCACTTACTGTTGCATTCCGAGTCTCAATTCGGGCTTCCGCATGTGGCCTTTCTAGCAGGTGCGGTGAAGCCGGTGTGAAAAACGGTTACCGTCAACCCAGCAAATCCATCGCACAGTCGCAGCATATAGTTCCTTTCCAGCTCTAATGCAGTTCGGTACAGATCAACAGTACTGCAGTCTAGCCATAGAGTGAGGTCATCATACCGTAGTAGTGTGTGGGGCATTGGAAGGCTACGGCGCTGTGGCTGTGCAACCCCCGTAAACCGGCAATGTCTTCTTTTCGTGTCTCGACACCATAGAACCGTGACATATCATGGTTTCTCAGTTTGCAGTTTTTGCAAAAGACGGCTTGACATTGATGGCCCATTAGCACATTGCATGCTATATACGGCCATCATGCACATCAGAAATGGCATCACCTCTACATGCAGACGGGCGGCGCAAAATATCATCTTCTGCATGTGGAAAAGCACTTCACACGTCCAGCAATCGAGCTCCGGTAAGCTGCCATTTTCCACTTCCAAGTTGCTCCCGTCCAGGCGGAGGACCTGCCGGACACGAGCCAGCAGAAGCAGCTTACCATTGGTGACAGCAGTGCTTGGACTGCACGGGCCCTATGGGCTTCTCAGCATTACTGGTAGCTGCATTTCCGTTCAATCTGTCACCGTCCAGGTCATCGTACCTGATGAGCTGCCTTCCTTCGACGACCAGACTGCCGTTGCAGGGGACAGGCGGCCCGCAATAAGCCTCAAATGTACCTGTATCCTGTTAAGCCGCAGCAGCAACCCTCGCTGGGGCCTTCCTCTTGCTTCGTTTGATGTTTCGTTCAGCCTGCTGATCTGCAGTTTGGAGGTCGGCAGGAAAAGTGTTGCGAGATAGCGACGTTTTTCCAGTTCCTGAGGAAAGTCAGAAACAGCACCTCTACGACGGTGTTCTGCCAGGTTTCGGGTCCGTCTACACGTTCAGGGGCGCTGGAGGATGGTGGACTGGGAGAAGCTGCCGAAGGACGGCGACGAATGCTATCGCAGCTGATTTAGGACGACCTGCCTGGTGTTGTGCAGGATGAGGAAACGGACACGCCTGCCGACCGAGCCTTCCGGGCAAGCTTGGATGGACTCGTTGGCACTTACCAGGCCTCCTGCAGACTGGACTGCTGCCACAAATCATCGAAGACAAGCTCTTTAGGTTGGGTTGCCTCCTCGTTCTTGTGATTGGAGCCTCTCGCAGGTTGTTGGCAGCTGGACCATGAACGATTGCCAGGTGCAGCTTTTTTTGTTTGCTAGCGCGAATTGCTGGATCGTGCGGGTTTCGGGGCATGCTGCACTCTTTTGTTGGCATTTGTGGCCCGTCCCAGTGCTTACTGCGACTGTAGCACAGCCGCCCCGTGGTTCGGACTACGTGGATGCGGCGCCTTCGCCTACAGCTTCCGGGCCTGGGGCGGCGATTCTCCCATGGTCTTCAGGCAGAGCAGCTTCTCAGCGCAGACGTTAACCAGGTGAAGCAAAGACGAAAAAGCCGAGGCGCAGCCGCCGCTGCCGCTACCGCTGCCGCTGCAGCCCGGGACGTGCAAGCGACGAGGTGGTTCAGGCTTCCACTCGCTTTCAGCTCAATCTCTCTCTCGTCTCCCTCGTCTCTCGGTGGAAGGCGGAACTCCTCTTGGCTCCCTTGCGAGGCCGGAGAGAAGTGCTCGGCCTCGGCCTGGTTGGCGGAGCAGCGCTGCTCTGCACCGCGTCCGCATGGCCATTACATGTACGTGTACCTATCACCCACGTGTGTGCAGCCTTAGTGCCAGGGGGCAGTTAGTCCACTAGTCACTAGTTGGTTAAGCCGACATGCCTGTATTCACCAGATGAACACATCTGCAGTCACGGCAAGGCATGCAGAGACCTGATGGAGCGCGTCCGGGTCAGGCCTGTCTCTCAGGTTTCGACAATGCCGAGCCCGGAGCAAGAGAAATCCGCATTGGCGCTCCTCCGAGGCACCGAAGTTCTCAGCCTGCGAGGAGAGCCCAAGTGAGAGGCCGCAACGAACTTGAAAATGCTCTGGGTGCGGTTGGGGGTCAGGTTGCGGCTAAGGGGTTGCCAGCCAAAGCAGCTTCGAATCTGTTGCTTGAGGTTTGATGTTCATCTCGCTGCTCGACCATCGTATTAATATCCTTGTTTTATTAACGCCCTCCCAACACGCTGCGTTCTGTTCGGTGTTTTTGGATCATTTGCTGGGGCATAGTTTGGTGTTTTATGCTTAGCTCGAAGGGTGCTCGAGCTGTGAAGCTTTTTTCCCATTTCGCATTCGCAAATCAGAGCATTCATGCATTTAACTTGGGTATCGCTTCACCATGGGGTAGAGAAGGTTGCGTGGCGTGTATACGGGGTTTCATTCTGTTCTTAGTATCTCAAACAAATCACTGCACATCCGTTACGGTTCATATTCACCAAGCAGTGTCGAAACGTTAAGACCGTTAAGACACGAGACACCCGCTTGAAAGGTGAGTGCTTGAATCTGGCCCCTGACGCTGGTGGCTGGCATTCAACCAAGCTATGGATGCCAAAGTTTCATGAGACTGACCTCCGCGAGGCTCCCTTCTCTTGCGCGGACCCTGCCTTGTGGCCTGCCCGTTCTGGACCAGATCGCTTGGTGGGACCTGGCGGGCGAGATCCCCTACACAGGAAAGCTGCTCGGTGGAAATGGCGGCAGCCCGACAGCAGTGCGGAGCACTGTCCAAGGGGGATTTTGGTTAGGGTTCCTTGCTAAGTTCGGCGAGTGGTTACGTGGCAAGCATTGCTTAGCAGACCAATCCACACAGAATCTGCGCAATGCACATGTTGCGTCCGACGCCTTGAGGCTTCGGGCTTTGCTCGAGGCTGGCGGCGCGAGTTTTTACGACGATGACCGTCGCAACTTCCTGAAATCGCCGATGGTATCCTTGGTGGCCATAGGACTGCAGTTCAGGGCGGTTGGTTCATTGGTGAGACATGGAGGGAGCAAGCTTGGACCTACCAAGACGGCAAGCTTCAATCCTGGAGGTGGTGTTCCAGTGAGGCCCACATCAACTGATACCTTAGAGATGCTGTATGGAGACACGGTCGTGCCCGTGCCTCTCGAAGGCATTCGAATCTCAGCGCTTTACAGAGTTGGAGTTGGCAGTTGTGGCAGGAGCTGTCGTTCTTTTTGGCTTGCTTTCTGGGGCTTTCGTTGCTCCCCGTTCTGAAGGGGCGAAACCCGACTAGCTCAGGCAAGTCATTGCGAAATCAGATGGGCATGACGGCCATGTTCTCCTATCTCAACCGCAGAGCTGTTCCCGCCGAGGAGATGTGGGAGGTTGCAACCAGGCTCAATCAATCAATCAATCAGTCATTCAATATATGTGAATATATATATATATATACATAAGTATTATGTGAGCTGTGAGCTCTGCTATGGTCCCTTTTGTCAAGGTGGCCGGTCTCGGCCATTTCTCCGTTGGCTTCAGAGCTGCATTCGGAGCGACCATCTGTCAGTTGGCCTCTGCTTCAATGCGAGGTCACGCTGCCCACCTATCCTTTGTGCTTGTCGGTCATAGCTGCGCAGTGGAAAATGTGACCTGACTTAAACCTAGGGATGCATCGAGGAGAGCTGCATAGCAAAAGAGCAGCTGCAATCCATGGCAGGGCAAGCCGAATGCAGTGACTCTGCGTCCTGAATGCCTCAAGTCTTATGGGTTGCAGGAAATCAACAGCCAGCGAGATGTCGTGCATCTCGGCCGTCTGACAGTGGCCAGAACCAGAGCACAGACCCTTGGCTTGTGTGATGGGTGGATCTCTTCGATGGGAGGGTCCTGAGCATGGGTGAGTTGCTGAAGCTGCGCGGAAGCTGTCAGCGGCCATGGTGCCGACACTCTTTGTAGAGTATAGCTCCCAGGGCAAACTCACAAGGGTTTGGGATGCTGAGGAAGGATCCTCCGCTGGTCGTACAGCTGCCAGAACTACTGCCGGCGCATGGCTCCAAGTTCCGTTGAGTTGGACCCGTGCACTTCAAAGTTCTAATGGATGTCCGAATGCTTCTATGTAGGTACAAGGAGCTCCGCCAGAAGGTTGAGGCTTGGGATCGCGTGGGACGGTGTGGGACTGGGAGGACGCAAAACGAAGTGGCCAGGAATGCATCCTCGCTGAAGTGGACAAGAGGCCAAAGAGTAAGTCCATCTCCATCCAAGATTGGCAGGAAGCTCTGAGACTCGACTGAACTTGAGCCCTTGCCGATGAGAGTCTGGTTGAACTTACCTTGTTCCGGTGGCATTCCTTCCCAATCCACTGAGCCTGCATTGCGAGCCGGCAAGCTCGAAGCTCGAATGCTGAGGTATTTGGGATGGCCATCTGCGAAGGCTCACGCCGCGCATACCGCATCCTGACACCCTCATGTCATGTCTCCGGTCGGGTCTCCCCAAAGCTTGCGGCTTAATCTGGGTCTGGCAAGTTGTTGTTTGGCTTTTTGGGCACAGCGTCCGCAACGCGGCCGACTTGAAATCGTCACGAAGCTTCTTCTGCAGCCTGCAGCAGGCGCATGTCGCCGTTCTGACGGGCAGCCTTCGCAACCTTCAGAAGTTGGTGAGCAGCATCGATGACGAGGGGATGCCTGGCGTCCGGAACGTCCTTCATTCTGTCGCGAAGACGGAGGAACATGCTACAGGGCCCCCCTTTGCAATTTTGCTGCTGACCAGCCGAGGAAGGAGGCCGAGTATCGCGCTCTTCTCTGGCAGATTGCTGTTGCGTGGCTCAGCTCAACGAGCCCTGCTAGAGCAATGCAAGGCCGTATTCGGATCGGTGCGAACTCCCCGCAATTGTGGAGGACTTTCGAAAGATCGGCCGAGGTGCCACATCCTTCTGCCAGACATGTTTCCGGATCCCAGCACGTGTCTCCATGGCATAGGACTTTCGGCACTGGCAAGTAGGTCTCCTTCCAAGCGCTCGCTTGCGTCTACGCCCAAGGAAATTCAAGTGGCGGCCGCCAGATCACATGATGCCAAAACATCTTCTTGAGCGTCTGAGAAGCACGTAGCAGAACACTCAGAGCAAAGCTCAAGTTGCTCAGCTGCCTGAAACAAGGGCAATTGTTTGCAAGATGTGAAAGAGACGCAGGGGTGCTGTGATCTTCTCGCGTCGCCCCAGCAGAACCTGACTATGGACTTACGCTGTGCACTGTGAACTTGGCAGGCAATGAAGCCAGACCCCGCTCGGAGGCACTTGCACCGAGTTGAGGCACAGGGGTGCCGGCGGTGCCCGTGAGGCAAGGCGATTGAAGGGAGCTTCCGGACAGGTGACAATCCCGGTATCGGGAGATCAGCAATTCCACCTGCTGCGGAATGAAGATCGGTGCCAGGTGCGGCCATGATCCCGTCTTAAGTCCACCAAGCGACTTCGATTGTTGAGGTGATTGGGCCTGAAAAGCTCTTGTCTCGAGTTCCTGGTCGAGCTATGCTGCGTCCGCAGCTCGGAGAGTCTGCAAGCCTGACACAGCCACTGCCTACAGGCTGGAGTAGCTGGCCAGCTGAGGTGCATGGGATCAGCGCAGCTCACTCAATTCCTGGCATCTCTGGCAAGTACGTGTCGTTAAGCGTCCCCACGCCAAGCAGAGAGATGTGAGTCGATGTGAGTCGATGCTGCTTCGCCAGGGCGTTCCGTGCTTCTGCGGGGGACGTATTCAGGATTGAGCCCGGGGCAAAGGCTTTTGCGCTGCTCAAAGAACTGGGCGTTGACGATGGGTTCGAGAGGTTTTGTATTCCGAGGTTTGAGCGGCAGGCCGAAGCAGGAGAAGACATGATGAAGGCCATTGCCGCACAGTCGTCAGCCTTGGGACCGAGCCAGCTCAGACTGCCAGGTGAGCTGGGAGTGCGTCAGCACTGACGCCCCAGTGCCGGAGGACGATTCATCTCCTCCCTGCGCCTTTCTCATGTCACTTGCGACGCCCATCTTTTTGTTGAGGAGTTGGCGCTGCTGCATCTGCGACGGAAATACATGGTTTGGGGCCAAGCAGCTGTTTGTGTGTGGGTTTTTTGATTCTGCACAGTAGCCTGCCTGTATTTGGCTGGTTGCAGGTACGACTCTGCTTCGGAAGCTGGAGCAACCATTCTTACAAAATGGCTTGGCAAGGCCCACACTCTTAGAAGGGAGAGAGAGGGCTTCACGGCCCTCGGCGAATGTTGTTTCGTAAAGACCTCGTGAAATCACATTGTTTCGTGACCACATCGCAGGAAGTTACTTCCGCCTCTTCTTAGAGCTTAACGAGCTTGCGAAGGCGCTGCGATTCTTCGGATCCATTGGCAAAAGAATGAACGGCTTCGATCTTGGTGGGATGCCTGTCATCGCTGCAGGTTAGCTTCGTAATCTACGAGGACTGCATTGCTGTCGACTCAAGAGACCCACAAGAATCCTAAGAAGATCAAGAAGGCCAGACAGGTACCTCAGGTACGAAGGATCTGACGGTGACAAAGCACTCAGATACTGTCTGAACCTGTAAGTGCTGGTTGGGGGGAGGGCGGCTCCTCGTTGTGCCCGTGCCAGCGTAGTGCGGTTATGTTTCAACATCTTCTTTCTATTTCAGCGAGCCGGGTGCAACAAAGCAAACAAAAACAGGAAGGGGCTCCTCAAAGCAGAAGCCGCTCTTGAAAATCAGGCACTGAAGTTCGATGCAAGTCCGTGTGCTGCTGCCGCAGCTGCCCTTGCAAGCTTTCTGATGGACGGCCTGAAGGTGAGAGCTCACGAAGGCAACCAATGTCACTCTTCGAGGAACATGTCAACATGGACGACCTGCCTCGCCCCAGCTTTTGCTCGATTCCGCCAAGGTCCGTGAAATTGAGCTGACGTTGCCAATAAAAAAGGAATGGCTCATGAACAAGTGGTCCCAACTGCTGACAGTTTTGGTATGAAGGAGGGTCGTGCGGCCGCCATCGCATGCAGCCGTGATTTTGAGACGGCTGGCGCCATCGCATATGACGGGGCTGTGAGCACAGTCAGGACGGCCAGACTTCCAGATGCCTTTTCCCATCGGTGAAGGACGTGGCACCCCAAGAGTTGGCTACCTTTGTTATCCGCCGTGTCGGAGAGCTAGTGGCTGCTAGCAGCTCTGGGCTCTAAACAGGGTGTTCGCACGGGGAACCTTGGTTGGGGCGTGGCCTGAAAGCGTGAGACTTGAAAGCAACCTTTCAAAACGACGAAAGCCAGCACTTTGACCAGACCCGAGGCCAATCCCCACGAAACCCACGAGCTGCAGGGCCCAGGCCCAGCAACCGAGGGCCGGCGGCTCAGTTCAAAACGTCACTGCGCGGAGCGAGAGGCGAGAGCAAGTTGGCTTCAGTCACAGTGGGGAAACAGGTCTCTTCTGGACGATCGGTGCGGGGCTTGGGTATCCAGGGGATGACATCGCGGTCTTGTGTGCTGTGCAAGACTTGAAGACCGCGCTTTTGCGAAGCGCTCAACCCCGAGAAAGGAGAAGTAACTACAGCATTTGCGGTAGAAGGCGCTTCCGGAGTCCATGGAGTCCAGGAGCGCACGAGAAAGACCAGGCGGTGAACGGAAGTCGCTACGAGCTCCGCCTGCACCTGGCAGAGGCGATCCGAGCTGAGGGCGGGGCGTCCGTCGGACCCTTCTTCCGAAGCCGAAGATCAAAAAGAGAGAGAGAGAGAGAGAGAGAGAGGCGGGGGTTGTGTTGTGTTTAGCGTTCGGGGGGGATCGCCAACTGGAAAGTTTGGGCCACACCCAGTAGTATAGTGCCGAACTCAGGAGTACCCCAAAAGCCGATCACTCCATAAACCAGGGGGTGGTCGGGCGGGCTTAGGCCTGTGGGTCGCTCCGCGACCCTTATGCCCGGCAGAAAGAAAAGAAAGAGAGACAGAGAGCCATTTTGGCTCAAGTACTGCGCCTTTGCTTGGAGGCCTGTCCCGCCTCCTTGCATCGGGGGGGAGGTGTGGGGTTGACTCAAGGCTGTTCACCTTGGGGGAGCCTTCACACCTTTCCCAGCGGTGCTTGAGCACCATATCCGCCGCCACTTTGCTTCAGAGGCCCTGACAGGGCTAGATACGCAGGAGCCATACCCAAGGAGGGCACGTTCGAACTTCTACCTCCTTGTGGGGACCTAGGAAGTGCAAGAACCTCTTCCACACCGCTTTAGAGCAGAACGGGGAACAGACCTTCACCGTCGACCCTGCCACCTCCACTGACACGGCGACCACATCGTACTTCCTCACTGGACGGGGGAGTATATCACCGTAACGATCGTGACTGTGGCAAGGACGGGGAGATAGTGAAGTTCACCAACGACCCGGGCGATGGCGACAGCTCCGCTCAAAGTCTGCAAGTTCTGCCGTTACGCAGAGGGGGCCCGCAGAACCAGCGGGGGAACCACCACAGCACCTACGACGACGAGCTCCGCCACACGCACGATCTCCCACAGAGGGGGAACATCTAAGGGCACAGCCGGGGAACGCCATCGACCTCCGGCCGAACACAAGGTGGCGTGCTGTCCAAAGGATTCAGACACAGGTGGCCCGATTTCGCTAAGATCCACATGAGGATGAGTGAGCGGGTGGAGCGACAGTGAGCGGCAAAATTCTCCAGGTTTACTTTCAGTTTCGCTTGCAAAGCCAAGCCTAATTATGACGGGCCGCTGGAGCCAGAAACACTAACTACCGACGGGGAGCCATAAGCCCCCACCTCTCTGCATTTGTTGCAAAACACTCGGCACCCAGACAGAGTCTTGCCGCTAATTCGGTTCTTTTAACAGGAAATTTGAAAGGGGCTTCATACCAACAACGCATGGGGGGACCAGCGTCTTTTCACTTCTTGCCTCTACACTACTAAGCTGGTATACCCGTTTTTTTTCCAAAGCAGCCCACCACACCGAACTTTGCCTTTTCGTTCTGGTACTGTGAGCTGGCATCGTATGGCATTCAGTTGGTTTTGCATTGAAAAAGTGGGGGCTGCTAGCAGTACAGTAGCTTACGTTGGGGTGTTGTTCGGCGAGGACCTAAGGATTCAGCCAAAGAGGGCGCAGGGACGAGGCCGGGATGCGGGATAGAGTACAGGGTTTCAGAGGGGGTCCAGACCGAACAAACACTACACGTTACAAAAGCCTCGGGGAACAGCCCCGTCCTTTACCCCAAAGCCGATCTTCCACCACTTTTACAGGAAGGGGGGGGCCTCGGCCCGGGCTCGCCTAGCGGACCTTTCCCCAGCAGCGAGCGAGCGAGCGAGAGACAGAGAGGTAGATCCCTCCTGTTCTACCCTTCGAAAAGACAAGAGAAGGAATGGAGTCATGGGGGCTTTCGGGGGCTGGTTCATCTGTTGGGGACTGTCTTGGTCGAAGTGCTGTCTCCGGGGACTGGTCGCTACGCCCAACATCCATAAGGAAACAGGAGACAGAAAGAGAGCTGGTGGCGATAACCCCTGCACGACAGCCCTGGCGAAAGAAAGAAAGAGGAACCAGCTCGGACAACGGCGTAGCGCTCGCGCGCTGGGAATTGGGGTCCTCCCCTAGGCCCTAAACGCCAGGCAAGCAAGCAAGCAAGAGGAACCGACTCTACGCTGTTGCTGCTTGTGCTGGAGCTGTGGCCGGGGGATGCAGTAATTAAAAAGTTTCCTAAGGTCCTAGTATGTCTCGACGAACCCCAAACCAATGTGAAGCACGGTCGACCGTGGAGCGGTCGAACCAAAGCAGTACTTTCTTTTGCCGTCCATTGAAGAGTTAAATTAGATGAGTTGATATCCCAAGATGTACTGCTGCAATATGCATGTGTCCAAGATGGATCGAGAAACCCTGATCGTTTCATAGGCCAGTGTACTTTGCTTGCATTATCCGGGGGACTCGATCTTTCTTCACGCCCTACCGAAAGCCCCATAACAAAAATGGGGGGCCCATGTTGCCGGGGGGCTCGACACGCCTCCCATGCCCTGCTGAAGAAGAGGAACCAACAGTCTTGTGACTGAGTTGCCAACCCGGCAACCAGTGCCCCTTCGGGCTCGGAGTAGGTAGGTCGAGACCTAACCTGCTCCGGGCTGCGTGCAAGCAAGGAACCAACAGGTGAACTGAAACTGGACGAAGACCTGCTGCAACTGGTCATGTCGGCAGTGAACTTCGTGTGTCTGCAGGGCGGCGTGCCGATGTCCGTCGACTGGGTCCGAGTGAAGTCGACAAAGGGTCTGGAGGACGCAGTTAACCTGGAGACCTTGAGCATTCTTTGCATTTTGAATTCGCATCTGCCATGTAGCTTGGTGTCATGGATACGTATCCTGCAAGTGCGTGAGACGATTCCTGCAGGATGCAGCTGCTAACGGCAACTTCGTCGCATGGCTACCAGCCGCCAGCTGAAATCCCGGACATCTTCCAGTCACTCACTGAGTGAATCTTCCCATCCGCGCAGAAGCCGCTCCCATGGGCGTAGGAACCGACAAACCAGATCAGCAAACTCTGCTGGCTCTGTTTAACCAGAGTTTGGGGGTCTAGTAGCCCAGAAGTTTGTGTTTTAGGCCGCAGCTTCAAGCGCAAAAGAAGCGGACGGAGCCGGTTTACTGATTTGTGGGTTCGTGGGAGTTCGGTGCAGATTTACCGACATTACATTTGGGTGTCCACTTGAAGGACAGTGCAAGTTCTTGATGCTCCCCTTTGAAGTTGTGGTAATCCAGTGTATCGTGAATGTCACATGCCGCTCGTCAAGTTATCGTGGCAGGTCTTCTCCGGTCGTTCTCACCAGCACCATGACCATGACCATGACTATTCACTCGCCCGCACACGCAGCCGCACCCACGAGCACCACGAGCACCACGAGCCCCCCGAGCCCCACGAGCCCCACCAATCAACCCCAGCACCACGAGCACCACTAACACCGCGAGCACCGCACCACCAGCACCACCAGCACCACCAGCACCACCAGCAGCAGCATCAGCAGTGATCCTCGAACTGCAAAGATCCCAGCATCATATCTCCCATCATCACCAAGAGGGGACCATCGACCTCCAAAGTGGCATCCGCCAAGGGTGCGTTTTGTCGCCACTGCTCTGGGTTTGCATCTACGTGCTCCCATAACCCAGAGCAGCGCACGGATGAGACCTGGGCCCGAACAGCCGTGACGGCCTTTGCGGACGACTTCATCAGCACCTTCATTTTGAACAGCCTGCAAGATGCTACCACCATGCTCACGCGAATAAAGCACCATTTCGCTGTCCTTACTGAAGCCAATATGTAAGTAGACACTGATTGCAACAGCACCGGCAGCACCAGCAGACCGTCAGCACCATCACCAGCACCATCAGTACCATCAGCACCATCAGCACCATCAGCACCATCAGCACCATCAGCACCATCAGCACCAGCAGCACCAGCAGCACCAGCAGCGCCAGCAGCGCCATTGCCATCACCAGCACCAACACCAGCACTAGCACCGACAGCACCGACAGCACCGACAACACCAGCAGCACCAGCAGCCAGCAGCATCAGCAGCATCAGCAGAAGCAGCAGCAGGTCAGCATGGTTGACATGGGCACTAGTGTCACTATCATCATCGACTTCACCGTCCTGATTGCCACATAATGTCGCCAACTACCGGTAGCGGCAGCAGCACCAGCCGCCTCCTCCTCCTCCTCCTTATCACCACCATCATCATCATCACCTTCACCTTCACCTTCGCCTGCAGCATCAGCATCAGCGGCACCGGCACCAGCACCATCACCATCAACGGCTTTAGTGGTAGTATGAAGAGCCTGGCAATCACCAACGCAAAGTCGCAGCTGCAATGGCTCCAGGACTAGACTGCCCGGGTCTAGCCGGATGTGGCATAGTGTACAAACCTTCAACCGACCTGCAACACTCCTGTCAAGAATGCAGCATGCAAAGCAAAGGGCAGTTCCCAATGCCTTTCTTTTCACGTCACGTGGCAAGTCACCTCTGATGGAATTGGCCGAAGACTTCGACTTTCTGACAGATGAAGACAAAGATTTCGCGCAAACTCTCAGGCGGCGCTTTCACGACGACTTCGCACAGCGCGAGGCTGATGGCCGCGCCTACCCCTGCTTCTTCGGGCCGATTGCCCTGGCTCGCATTCTTCGGGCAGTTGATGGAAACGTGGAGAAGGCTTGCGAGTGGTTTCAGGCCGCGGAGTTTTCGGGCCGGATGTGGTAGATCATCTTCTTGAGAGTCTCGGCATGTGCATCGCTTGTGTGCAGTGAGAGAGACCACAGCATTGGAGGCTTTTCTCCAGGCCATCTCTGAGCAGGGTGCCGAGGACTTAATACAGGATGTGATCCGTCGCTTCGAAGCCGCAAAGTCCGAGACGATTCACGCCAGCATGCTCCCACACTACGATGCCGTCAAGGACTTCTATCATGCAGAGCTCCATGCATTGCAGCTTTCGCCAGACGGCGACGCCATTATGTATCTGCCGCGGCTGGGTTGCATTGTTGCTGGGGTTTAGGTTCGCCGAAGCTTTTCACACCTGAGAGCCGATCGCAAAGTTTGAAGACCCGCTGAGGTTGATTGACCATGACAAGAATGGCATCATGGAGCACATGGACTGGGACCAGTGGGTCGCCTACAGCCGCACGGACTCCTTTTGTCATCCCCTGGTCTGGTAGGAGGCATGGACAAGGCTTATTTGGGGTATAGTAAAGGTATGTGAGGGTCTTCCCTACATGAATGCTCGCTCTGATACCTACGCCCAAACCGAAGCCACCGTGATCACTTTTTGAACATCTATAGAAACCCGGAGTGTTCGGGACTACTGGCCATGATCGATGCAGACAGTCAGTCTGCTGTAGCCGCATCTTCGCAATTTGCGCTCTCAGTCGAAGGCGATGTCTTGTTTTCAGTCCGAGCAAACTGTCAATCGGCTTGTGTGCTTTACGGACGTGGGATTCTGAAAACCTTTAATCCTAGCCTCTGTCCGAAGGATATTGTGCCAGACAAGTCGAGCCAGGTTCTCTTCCAACCAGGTTTCAAAGTCCCAACCTGCCATAGCCATAACCAAGGCAAGGCCGGCACTGTGCTTCAGTGTTTGGCGCTGGACACCCTTAGCAGACGCACTGGCCGCATCGCACGAATCGTCCTTGTGGTCGACATGGAGGGATGCTCCTTAGACCTTGTGATGAATCGGACATTTCTGCGTGCTCACAGGCGAGATGTTGTGGACTGCTTTCAGCAGAAGGTGGCAGCTGAGATAGTCGCCAATGTCTATGTGATCAATTTACCATGGACGCTGGCGAACCTCTTCACCTTGTGTAAAACCTTTGTGCCGGCCAAGTTTTTGCAAAAGGTAAGGGTGCTGAGCGGCGACTCCCTGCGAGATTCCTCTTTCGTGAAGCATTGCGGAGGCCCCGAGCAGGTTGCGGGTTTCTTTGCGTCGCGGAAGGGTCTAGCCGCAAACAGCAGCCAAAAGGCACACAAGGAGCTGCACTCTTTAGATCTTTGGCCAGAGAAGGATGAGCTGGAGCTGGTTGGAAGGCTGCGTGCGAAGTTTGCTGACGAGTTCGAGCGTCGTGCGCAGACTGGGCACGACTGGCCCTGCCTGTTTAGCGACTTGGCACTGGCTCGCGTCCTACGTGGCAACGAGGGTTATTTTTCAGAATCAGTTAACTGGTTCCAGAAATTTCTCGACAAGATGGCAGAACATCAAGTTGACCGTCTTGTTTCGACAATGACACAGCGACTCGAAGAGTCTGGCCTGGATCGTGGATGCACGTCGATGCTCCCCCACGCGTCGGAGATAGAGAAGCACTTTCGCTGCGTCTTCTCGGCGCCGAGGCTGACGCCCTCTGGGGATGTCATTTGGTGACTGGCCTGAGTCGTGAAACTCTCGAAAACCCTACCTGCCACACATTTTTCTCCGCCTTTTCCGTGTGAGCTTCTGATGTAAGCTTGAGCTCGCTCCGCTCTCCATCATTAGGTATGTGCCGCTGGGTGATTTCAATCGTGAATCCCTGGTCGAGGAGCCTTGGCCGGCCAGACAAGAGAGAGAACCGATCCCCGGTCCCCGATGGTTTTGTGTTGTTTTTTTCAGGAGGTGGACTGGGCGCACTGGGTGGAGTTCCTGCGTGCAATGGTGGTATTGCGGGCTGTGGAGGCCCAGAAGCTCAGTGAGAGCCAGGGGCGCATGGCCACCAGGCACAAGAGTGATCCCCCTTTTGGGCCTCTGCCCCTCTCTGTCTCCCTCTCTGCCTCTTCCCTTCCCTATCGACTTCCGAGGTGAAGTGCATCATGATCCTCGATTTGCACGGTAGCGGCACCACTGCTACCGGTTTTCCCAAGGTCGAGGAGTTCGACGACAGGAACCAAGCCAACATGAAGTTTATGCGCCAGATCGTGATCGAGGTTCTGGGCCCAGTGTACGTTCTCAACGCGCCTTGGGTAGCCGTGAAGGCTTTCAACTGGTTCAAAGCCCTGGTGCCGGAACGGTTTTCTCAGAAGCTGATGCTTCTGGATGGGGATGGCACATCGGATCAGGATTCTTGGCGTCACCCAGGTGCCAAAACGGTGGCATACCTCAGGCTATTTTTGGGACTGTACTTGCAGCCTTGACTCAACCCTACGTGAGGTGAACTACCGGCTTTCCGGCTTTTGCAGCTCAGGATTTCTTGGAGCTGGTGTCCGAGTCGCAGTTGAAGCACCTGCTTGCCACACGCGTCGGTCTGGTATCTGGGGAAACTGACTCTCGTTAGCAACCGAAGCTCTCTGTTAGCCTCTGTCTTTGAGTCGTAACGGAGAAGACCGTGTCCCCTACATAGCGGCTATCGTTCGTTGGTAAGGTTGCAGTTGCAGCAACAGCTCTTGCTCTGTTTCGGGCATTTGACCCGATGAATTCGTGCAGGTAAGGGGGCCTGTTGCTTTCGGTCACCACTCGTACATGCATTTCAGGGTTTGGCTAGCATCATGGTCGGGTTCTCCAGGGGATGACACGGTTTTGGTGCCTCCTGGATTCTATCCATCTATCCGTACCCATCATCGCCTTCTTCTTAGGCTTAGGATATGCTCGAACCAATCCACCAGCCAGGACGTCCTACTGCACCCATCGCTTTTCCAGGTTTTCGCTTTCAAGGTGTTGCAGCATGTAACATCGTGCAAACCGAGTTTTACATCAGATATCATCAAGTTTAAACGGCAAAGGTATGCCTCTCCATGCCTCTGTCAGGATACGACAGTGAGATCTAGTTCACCGCACACATTGGCTGACTCAAGCTATCTCAAGCTCAGGCGTTCAAAATTGCTCCCAGTATCAGTACTTGGAGGTTCATCGGTATTTATAAGTAAGGTTATAAGTAGGGTAACTATACTTATAACTTATAATCCATATTAGGTGCCTGTCTTTGCTGTTTCTGCGGCCCAGTCGCCGCTGCTTTGCTCCCCAGACAGCGGCAAGGATTCGCAGATGCGCCGTAGACCTAAGGCGGCCACGTCATCGACGAAGTCCCCACTCTACATGTACGTAGCTTAAGTCAAACCAACAGATGCCCCCAGACACCACCATTGCTCCTTGGTCCAGGATGCGAATTGTGGTGATGCCCTTGTGGCAGCAGGCGATTGCTTCCAACGATGCCGGGATTTGCGGGCCGGAGAAACAATTTCTTGGTCCTTCTCAGTCGTTGCAGGAGATGGAGACGCATGGCTTGGTGCCTCCGACATCGAGTTCTCGGCCTCCTTGTGGCTTCATCCGGAATTTGCTCAAGACGAGCAGCCGGAGGAAGAAAATGTGGTCGTTGAAGCCGTTATCGTGCAAGCTTCGAAAGGTGAGGTCTCTGGAAAGTACACAGCTTCTCGAGATGGCGTTATCACTCTGCGCTGGAGCAATGAGCACAGCCGACTGCGATCAAAAACGGTTCGGTACAGAATCGACTTATGATCGCATGAACATGGGATCAGTGGGCTTCGCATGGTCGACCACGGTGTTGCGCTTCCACGCGCCGATGACAGCACAGGCACCGCCCGTCTTTTCCGCTGCCAGCGTCCCTCCTGGACGCGCAGCAGGGCATGAACAAGTGCAGAAGCTGCTGGAATCTTTTCTGCGTTCCGCCGGAATGCAAAAGTACGCTCCCAGACGAGCATGCTCGTACCACCGGCCTGAGTTTCAGTTGTATCATGTCCTCAAGCCATGTCGGCCCAAGCTGCATTCAAGGCGCAGATAGAACCATTGTCAGAGCCACAATCATATTGCTGCATGGCTTGCTGAGACACTTCGGATAGGCTGCAGGCTTGACTGCTTGACAAACAGAACACGGTGCTGGCTGTGGTCGGAATGGCACGCCGGCACAAGTCCGGCTGTAGTAGTTAGTCGTCATGGGATCCTACCTGTCGAAGCCTCGATGGGTTACATTACGCTGCTGTCGGCCACCTATTGCTCCGCTGGCTTGAGGTCCCAGCCCGTCACTGAAAAGGAGCCGCACCGGCAGCATTGGGGGCAAGAGGGGAACACCGTGTTCAATCAGTGCTAGATTCAGACACGCTCCTTCACACTTTCGCCTACGGGAAGCAGCCGCGAAGCACGATTCAGACTTCGTTAGCTTTTTGTGTGGACGGGGCAAACATGAGCCCCTATTGGCACATGGTAGCAGTATCGGAAACCCAGCCAGCTGCAAAGCCGAAGCACAGGTCGTGCTCTGGAAGAGGGAGGCGGGATGCTGCCTGGATCCGCACCTCCGTCTGAGGAAATGATGTGGCGGTTGCATGAAGTCATGCTGGACGCCTGGGCCTGCTTTGCGCAGGGGCCATGTCTGGGCATGCAGCGCCATGCAGGGTTGGAGGACCAATATGGAGGACAGCTTCGATCTCTCAACACGTCCGATTTGGGGTAAGAGCGGCAGTGTCTATTCCCCGCAGTCTTCCCACGGCGGACAGGATGCTCACATAGCCGTGTCTGGACTGGGAGACGAGCTGTGTCAGCCTGAGTGGCAAAGGCGTGGATCGACCATGTCACTGCAGCGTAGCTACATTCCTACTTCCAGGAAGCCCATGCATACAATGTTTACCGAGGGATGAGCTTTCCTTGTTCGGCGTTTTCGACGGGCATGGTGGTGCGGAGGCGGGTGCTCCTCCAGAGCATCTCACCGAAGTCTTGTCAGAAACCTTCTTCCATTCCCAGGTCGCGGCCTTCTGCAAGCAATTCCTACCCGATGAAGTTCGCAGGCACATGTCCTGCGGTCTATCTATATCTATGTTTATGTCTATTGCTATAGCTGTATCTGTATATATCTATATCTAAACCTGTATCTATGTCTATACCTATATCTATCTCTATCTTCGGGTCTCTGTCTACATCATTAATTTTTGCTGTATCTTCTGTATCTGTATTTGTATACACACACATAGACATAGTAGATGTGTATTTAAAGATATATGTACTTATCAGCACATATACATATGTACGAGTGTATATGTCCATGTATATGTCTATGGATTTGTACATGTATCTGTATATGTAAAGACATACATATGCATGCCTGCTTGCCTGCATGCATGCATGTATGTATGCACGTATATACGCATGTATGTATGTGTGTAAGTATGTATGTGGGTATGTGTGTAAGTACGTATGTATGTATATAGGAAATCATAAATGTTTGCACATGCACCTTGTACATACACATGCAGACACATGCATATACATGTATGTGTGTTTGTACATATGTACACATATACATACACACTTATTATATGTATTACATATATACGTGCCTGCATGAACACATACATACATACATACATGCATGCATGCATACATACATACTCAGATACATCTGTAAGCACACATGTGTGTATGCACATGCACACATGCATACGTACATACATACAGGTGTATGCATACATATCTGTATATCAGAAATTTGAAGCTTCAGTCGAGCGTTGCTGAACCATGGACAGACTCAAGGTACCTTGGAGCAGCAAGAAAGGCAACGACATCGCCCAACTAGCCTTCATATTGGCCGCAATGAACACGGGTTGCTGCTGCTGCCATGAGTATTACTAGTGGTACTTCACCTACAATCAGTAGCAAGAAGCACTGCAGGGAGACAGCATCACAAGACTGGTAAGCACAATCGGAATCATTGTTCTGAAGGTCATCACTGATCTCTCTATCTTTTGCTCATTTCGTTATGTGTTGGCATAAGTGTTCTTGTCGTGCTAGCCATGAGTTGCCGTAGTTTTTCGTCCTAGCAGTGACGAAATCAAACTCTGCTTAATCATGCTTCTCACGACGGTGAGCATGTGTTGGATTTCTTGCCGGACGTCTTGCTGTGTTGTGTACGTGTGTGAGCATCGGCTGTATTCCTGTCGTCGTGGTTGCTAGCGGTGAAGAACACAGCTAACCAGCGAATCGTTGTTGAGGCAGTGGTGTAGGCTGTCTCCAGATGGTTGCATGGTGGGAAGCTGCACGAGTACTTCGGCAAATCGAGTTTCCAGCTCCCGTTCCTCCAGTTCCGACCGCCAGCCTGCAAAGCTTGCAAAGCCTGCAATACTTGCGACTCGTCCCATCCAGGCAGCTGCGGAAACGGCTTGCGGACGGAGCGAGGCTTGGAGTTTGCAAGTGAAAGCCCACTGAGCGCTAGTCACTAGCCCTTCGAAAGCCAAGCAATGATTCTCCGCGACTCCGTGCAGTGGTTTCCAATAAGGAATCATGTGCTCATAATGTGCTCATGGCAAAAAGACGTGACCAATGCTGTGGCAGGCTGTCGGGAGATGTCCTGGGAGAGGCTGCGACAGCTTGTGGATACATTTTTCGGGTGCTTCAGCTTGCAGAAGGTGCTAATCAGCAGCTTCCACGCCATGGACGATATGCTGCGGTCTCCGGAGCACGAGCGGCAACTCTTGGCCCTGAAGCAGGCATGTCACGGCATTGCTGCTCGCCACGGCTCACGGATCCATTTGCAGGTGGCCAGAACGACCTCGAAAGGCTCTGTCCCCTGTCGCAGTTTGTCTTCTGTGGCCTCAACTTGTGCACCCCTTTCGCTCGCAGGCATCGGGGGAGCTTCCTCGTCGTCGGGCTCCTCCTCCGACTCAGGCACTGGCACATGTGAAGAGCACCGGCGGCCTAGCGGTCTCGAGCTTTGGCTGTGTCTCAGGGTCATCCTCTGGATCAGACTCGGAGGATGGGAGGGTTGAAGCAGTGTGGTACATAACCGTGTGGTACAGCTGGCAGGCCGAGGAAAAGGATGAAGGCAAGAAGCCTCATGGGGTCTGGCCCCAAGCTGGAGCTCCCGCTATGCATGCGCCGGCTGCTCCGACCTGCACGTCCTTTCAGGTTCTCTCCTTGCTGTCCAACTCCATCCAGTCCACACTTGCCCAGGCCTGTTGGTAGGGTGCGACAATTGCCCGCCTTGCAGAGCTTCTTTCCACACTCTTGCTCCCCAGTTTTTTCCTTCTCTCACGCTCTCTCTGTCTCGCTTTCGGTACTCTGCTTCTCAAACCGTTCGGATGAGCCTGGAAGCTGCAGAGGCCATCAGTACGATCTGATGGCTGCCGAGCAGTGTTAATCTTCATCCTACAGTACCCCATCCTGCGGCCTTGTGCTTTTCGTTCAGTCCGCAGGCCAGAGACAAGGGCTCACTGTCGAGAGAGGAAGCCAAGCAGGCGCAAGAGTGACCAGTACAGCGGCAAGAAGAAACAAGCCAAGCTCTGTTCAGGTGATGATGAAAATGGCCCTGCTGAGGCCTGGCTCTCAAGATCGTCTGCCCCTCCGCTTCCGGTTGCCTGCTTTAATGCAATCAGGAGACTCGAAAGTCTGCAACTGAGCTCTTTATGCTTGCCCTACCAGCATTGCAACGCGCATTGTCAATGTGTTGACAGATGACTTTGAACGATGCGCTTGCCCTTCGGTGGGGTCCTTTACCCATACGTGGCCCACATTGAAGTCCACCAGACGGGTTTTCAAGCGTCATTTCGCACAAGCCTCGCAACATGTACTTGAAGGTGCCGGGAAGGCCACTCGATCGGACATGGAACATGCGGGTCGGCAGAGTCGCACAAGCACGATCTGAAGCTCCGTGAGCATCTAACTTCTTCACTTGCTGGGCCGTGCTGGAAGTGCCGAGCCCTGTTATGAAGCCGCAAACTCGTTCGACTAACTGAGGCAAAGCTCCATCCCTCAGTCCGGATGCGGCTGCTGCGGACAACGTCGGGCGGCCTGCTTAGCTTGTGGCAGTTCCGGTCCTGCTTCTCGTTGATCTGTCGGATTGGCCTTCGGCACCTCCAGAGCACGTGTCACTTGGAACTAGACGCTGGCATTGCTTCTCCCGCTGTCTCTTCCAGTCGAAAATCATGCCCCTGCGCCGGTCGGGTGCTGGCCTCTCTGAGGTGTACCGCCGTCTGCGTCCTTCTCAATGACTCGGAGATCGACGGAGCCCCAAGCAGCGCAGTGCAGACGTCCGCGAGGGTCGCTGTGACGCTCTGATCCGAGGTCTGTGCGAATGCCGGCGACTCGCGAGCTGTCCTCTGCCGCGCATCGAATCCGGCCGAGGGCTGACCCGGGCTTTGAAAAGCCTCCTGGCCCCTCTCTCTCTCTCCCTCTCCCTCTCCCTCTCCCTCTCTCTCTCTCTCTCTCTCTCTCTCTCTCTGTGGGTACGCCCCACGGTCTCAAGGTCGAGCTCTCCCAGGATCACAAGCCAAACGAGGCCGGCGAGCGCGAGCGCTGGCGCCCCGGAACGAGACCTGTGCCCAACACGTAAGTTTGTACTTTGAGGTGGTGTCAGTGTCGGATTGATTTCAGCTTGAGGTATCGAAGCTGCCGGGGGCCGCATCGAAGAGATCCCTGTCGGCGCGCGGGCTTGGGGCTGAAGGACCACTCAAGCGATGGACAGCGAGATGCCGAAATGCAGTGCGAGGTTCACTACCGTGTCAACGGCAACCTGAACCTCTCGCGTTCAATTGGAGATTTCGAGTACAAGCCTGGCTCCAAGGCTTGAGGGTGTTTGGAAAAGTAAAGCTCGTGATTTTGTAGTAGCCTAACAGATCGCACCTGGCCAGCTGGCGCACTCCAGAATGAACTGAGAGTATGTGCCGCTCAAGTGCGGTGAAAGAGACAGACTTCTTCACGCGAGACTTCAATCTTGCGACTCTGCGCCCGGCAGTTTCCTACTCCGTTGGCTTGAAACGAATCCGGACGTGGCCCAAGGAAGCAGCCCAGCCTGGGCCACGAGCGGCAGATGATCTGTTCGACGCCTCGTCCCAAGTCCAAGTTTCAACGAAGCCAAAATACACGCAGCTTGTTACTGTTGCAGTCTGCATAGGCTGCATACTCGCAAGGCGGAGACCTAGCTTGCAACAGCAGCCGTTTCGGAGACACTGCAAGGTCGACATGCTCACTGGGTAACAAGCCGATGTTAGAACGGCCGCTCTCTTTCTCCGCGTAGTTAGACTTTTGAATGCATAAAGCTGTTAGCTGGTAACGTCGTCGAGATTTTGATGAGCAATGGTTGTCACGAGGGCAGTCCCGATCCCAGGCCCGACATCGTGAAGATGCCCTTAAGCAAGGACGCTGAGTATGTGTCAATGTTTATGGTTCGCTACCGCGTCTGAGATGCAGGTGTTGTTGGTATCCCCTCTTCTGGTCTTGCCCTTTCCGCTTGAGAGGAGGACGATTTCGTTATTCTGGCATGCGATGGGGCTCTGCACCCAGATACTTCTGATGCTAGTATGGCGGGCAGGCAGGGATGTACACACAGCATTGCGTTGCACATGATACAGAGTTCTCCTTTCCTCTACCACACCGAGAAGTGAAAGTTGAAGAGTTGTGCACACCTTAACTTACGGTAGAATCAGTCGTCTGCCTCGGTTCTCGGCCGACTTTCTTAGCTGAGGTATGGGATGTGAAAAGCAATGCGGATGTCTGCGATTTCATTGGCAAGCGATTGGCTGCCGGTGAGGAGATACAACCTCTGCGCTTGTTGTGTTTAGCACTTCGTCGCAGCAGAGGAGATCGTGCCGGTGATAGAGGGATTGCTGGACGGCTGCATTGCAGAGGATCCGAAGAAGGCTCACTCATGTCGCAGTTGACATACTACGTACCCTAACCTTCACCCAGGATTGAGCATATTGCCCAAACCATGCAGAGACTTCAGATGCTCTCGCAAATTTTGTGATGTCCGGTTTGCTTGCTCTTTCTTGCTTACTACTAGTATTGTGACCTGCACTTGTGGTAAACATTGGGGGGCATGTCAGAGAATATTTTAGTGAGTTATTAGTGAATTAATTGTGAGTTGGGTTAGTGAGCGGCCAGAGGGTTCCGAATACTTTGTGAGTTCTTATTCTTAGAGAGCAAAATTAGCGGGTTAGCAGAGAGCGGTGCGACTGGTGCCCCAAGCTTGTGATTTCTTAGAGAACAAACGTGAGCCATCTCGGAAAGATCGGTGCCAACATTGGTGGGACGGTTCAGATCTCGAAAGCTTCTGACGGCGCTGGAGGCGCAATACGTACAGCCTGTCGTGCACGTCGCCTGGTGTGTGATAGCTTCCGCGACTGCTCAAGATCACTTTGACAGGCAAGATCGGCCCGTGCGTCTCAAGTTTCTTTCAAACTCTGCTGTCTAGTTTCTCTCTAATTTCTGGCGTGGCTTCTGCATCTCTCAAATTTCTCTCTATTTCTGCTCTCTAATTTCTCTCTAATTTCTCTGTAGCTTCTCTCTAATTTCTCTCTAACTTCTCTCTAATTTCTCTTTAATTTCTCTCTAAATTCTCTCTAAATTCTCTGTAACTTCTCTCTAATTTCTTTCTATTTCCCTAGGAAATAGAGAGAATTTAGAGAGCGGGCACTCCTCCCGAGCCCCCGTCCCTGGGCCCCTCCAAAGCAGACCCCGGGCAGCAGTGGCGGGACGAGCTTCGGCGACAGTTTTTGAAAAATAATTGAGAGATTTTTGAGAGCAGAATTAGAGAGATATTAGAGAGAGTTCGGGCCCATTTATTGGGAACAGGGCTGCCCGAGGGCTTCCATCAGAATGCTACGGCGTTGTCCGTGATGCACCGGCACTAAATAGTCACGAATCGCTAATCATCAAGAAGGTTGAACCCAGCTGTCATCGTGATGCAGGCTTATCACTCTGTCCTGTCGAATCCCGTCACTATCTCAACACCGATCAGGTCCTGATCTAGAATTTTTTGCAATCATTCAGCATGACCGGTCCCTCTCTAAATGCAAGCAAATCCTGCTCTTAGGAATGTCTCTAATCAGTCAGACTGACCGGTTCCCTCTCTAAATTCTTGCAAATCCTGCTCTCAAATATCTCCCTAAGAAATCACCAAAATAATATTTTGAGAATTCCAGTCTTTACCAGCTAGCGCAGGGGTTAATACTAGTAGTGCTTTCGTCTAGAGCTCCGACTTCAGCTGCCGCGCAGACACATGGCCTTGGTGGTGACAACATGACCTGCGTCGCCACCTAAGCAGGGTGATGGCAGAGATCTGACGTTGGCAGTTCCATGCTCAGCAATCAGATCCTGTTTTGTGCTCTTGTCAAAGCCGAGATGATTGTGCAGCTGGGCAACCACAAGGACAAACGGTGACTCTCAGAGAGCCAGTGTAAAAAGCTTAGGAGGAGACATGAACGCTCCTTGCGTGCTCTTTAGAGCTGTAAATGAACCCTGCGCAAACTGCGTATGGCGCTCAGCCAAAATGAGATGTGGTTTTGCTTGCGCTGCTGCATGATTCCTCGCTATGTACGAGTGGAGGCAGGCAGCGTGCAAGCGCTGGAAGGTCGGGTGCTTCAAAGAACGTTAATCTTCAAGCGAATCTTGAACCTCATCTTGGAGTAGCAGCACGTGCGAGGCAAGAGTCAATGGAACAGCCCCAGGGATCACTTGCAGCCTGTAAAGTTTGCTGCAAACTTTCACAAGTGTTTTCCGTGCTGTGGCGGCTCACCTTCAGACGCTGTCTTCCGTCACTAGCCCCCCCCAACCAGTCGGGTGCCCGCCTGCTCTTTGGCCAGGGTTGTGCGCGATCGCTAAAGGATTTCTTGGTGTCGCGAAGGAAGGGGTTTTTATGTTTGACGAACGGAGGGATGGCATGGGGCGCAGCTTATGTCACGAGCCCACGTGGTTCAAGTTGATCACTCAGTGGTTCCTGATTTGCTGCAGCTGAGCTTCTGGCAAGAGAGAGCCCACTGTTGGGGAGATGAGAGAGAGGCCAGGAAGGGCATCTGCTTCCAGCACCTGACGGAGGGAAGAGGTAGGGGGAGGGAGAGAGAGGAGGCAGGCGGGGAGGGCGGCCGCAAACATGGCATAAACATTAGCACGCACTTAGCTGCTAAGTGCCAGTGTCTCGAGGGCATAGGTTGGGCCCATGTATATAATGGAGCGAGGAGTACTTTAGCTTGTCCACAGTGTTGTAGCACTTCAACGTCAGAACCTTGAACTTCCGCTCGGAAACTTCCGCTCGGAACTTCCAGTCGGAAACCCGCCTGGAAACTTCCTTGCTCTCGGAAACTTCTCGGAAACTTCTGCTCGGAAGCTTCCCTCTGACTTCCTCTGAGAACTTCGGCTCGGAAACTTTGTCGGCAGACACCGTTCAGTTCACTGCCAAACTGCGCCTCAGTCAAGAGTGTCACTCAGACAAACCACTGCAAGATGCCAAAACAATGCTGTGGCCATGTCAACAGAGCTGATTTCATCCAGACATCCTGTCTCACCCCCAAGACTCATGGAGCTCTGCTTCGCTGGCTGCCCTGGCACCCGGCGTTCGCTTTTCGAGCGACGGTTCTGACGTCATGTGGCTTCGGGACTTCGGTGACAGCGGCTGCTGCGCTCAGTCTAAAACAAGAGAGCGGTGAAAGAGAAGGTGCCAAAAGTAAGAATGTGGCGAGCAGACTTTGGCCCGTTGATGTTCACCACGCGCAACGGACAGGGGAGTCCAGTCCAACTCCAGCCCTCGGAAGACTTGAAGAAAGAAACGTGAGACGAAGAAACCGCATCAAGTTGAGCTCATGCAACATGCAAGATGTTGAAAGTCCCTGCCTTCAGGGTTCGTTTAACCGCAAATCCAAAGTGTTGGACGAGCACTTCCATCTGAGAGGTCATGCCCCGCCCAAAAACTGGTCATGTTGCTTTCGATGCAGAAACTTTCAGACAAGCAGGAACGCCGTATGGCGGTGCTATTACATTCAGGGCCACCGAACCGTTGGGCAAAGCTCTTCAGCGGCCGCGCGCAGTTTGTGCCTCATTTGCCTGTGTGCTGAGAAGGCATGCATATAATGTTACTTTTGGTTTCGCTATCGGTTTTGCATCTGCTCCAAATGTGCGATTGCACATCGATAAGCGGAGCTCATCTGCTTACCTTTATCTCGCCGTTAGCCTCTCCTGCCCCAAAGCCCGCGTTCGACCACTACGTTGAACGCCAGATCCTCCCACATAGGCGTTTCTGAGCACGATCATGATCGGTCTGCAGGATGCGACATTGAATCTGGAACAGTGCTTTATTGCTAGCTGTATGCTCTGACCAAGATGGCAGACGCCTATCCAGAACCTCCTTTGCTGCACATGCTCCGTTTTTAACGGGTGTCAGACTTAGTCCCCATGCACAGCCAGCAGTGCTCTCCTGCTTGGGATGGCTCTGTTTGATGTCGGCCTCTCAGCGTCTGCGTGGCCAGGAGGGTTTTCTCAGAGCCGGAGCTCAGGTCGCCAAAGTCCTCGGCGGTCCTCCAGCTGCTGAGGCCGAGCAGCCGAGTGGTGATCGGAGCACTGCGAGATGTTTGCCCACCGAGGCAGCTTGATCTTCCTTCAACAGCAACCAAGGCCCGTATCAGCACTCCCTTTGCGCCTTATACTGCCCACTGTGACGCCCTGTCTGTGCCGTAACTGTCATGTCCTGTTCTGTGGGCAGTAACGAGAGTTTTGAGACCTCCGCATCAGTGTTGGACAGGCCCAGATCCGCGCAGCTTACCTTCGAAAAGTGAAGGCCGGCACGCGTTTGCGATGCACAGATAGTTCGGTTTTGGCCACACCGTTGGATGCACGCTTTTGGGCACTTGCAGCCTTGGAATGCAGATCTACGACTAGTAATTAAAATGGATTGCAGATACATGCAAGCCAGTCAAAGTTTCTGAGCTTTACGGCTACAACAGGTCAGAACCTTATCGATTGATTGCATGGTGCCCCAAAAATGGGCGAGGGTTCCCTGAGCGATGCAAGCACCAAGCTATGAGCCCAGCCCCGTGGAAATCGCTTGGACAGGTGCTGCATCCTGATGTTGCAGGCAAGTCAGCGGAGGTTCGGAGCGCATTGGATTAACTTTTCTTGACTTTCGCCTGCGAACAACAGCATGTCAGATGTGATGGAGTAGAGAGGAGGTCGCAGTTGAAATTAAAGGCGCAGTGTCTCCATGTTCGCCATGCGCATTCTGAAGCGATGCAAGTGGACATGCGAGTTGCACAGGAGCGGTTTTGTCAGTTGAAAGAAGTCGGGCACTCATTCACCGGGGTGGCTTTTGACCATGCGCGGCGTCTCTTTGGTTGCTAGTCACCGACGCTTTTTCGGAGGACTACGAGCATGCCATGGAGCAGCTGAAGAAGGCCAATACTCTTGCTTGCTTTTGGCTTGAGGCCTTTCGAAAAGCTCCGAGAACAGCTTCGACTTTGCTCCTTTGGAAGACCTGAACTCCTTGTGCTTGCAGCCATGTTCAGGGCTCCATCCATGGCCACAATGCGCAACGCCGTGCTCTTAAAACTCAAGCGTCGTACAGTATCATGACATGCAAAAAGAGGTCGTTTGCTGCAAGGAGTATGTCTATGTGCCGCTTGTGAATTTGCCAATGTTAGGGGGATCCTGAACAAGCGCACATGTTCCGTGCAGGATTCTGCAGGGGGCCAGGCTCGGCAGTGGCTGTAGTTTTCTGTTTCTTGGACGACGAGGTCATGGGAGCCAGCCCGAGCATCCGTTTGTCGGAGACCTATCCATGTTTTTGTTGAACGTCTATTGCTCTTCTGACATGACCTGCTAAGTACCATCCACCTCACCACCACTCTTATCAACATCGTTATCCGCACCATCATCACCAAGAGCACCATCACCA